GATCACGAGTTAGAGGCAAACAAACTTCGGGTTACTATACTTAATGCCTTATCATTACAGGCCTGGATCGCACCTTCGTTTGGTTTGCCTCACCCGTTTTTTTCTCTCGATCAGATACTCTATTTTGATGTCTTTACGATCCGGGCTATTGCACGCTTCGCTTCATGTAAAAGTCAACAGCAGCATTGCTAGTAATCCTTGGACATGGATATGTATTACGTATACTAATAATAACAATGAGCACTGTATTACGGATTTGAAAAATTTTGACAAACAGGTTAGGCTTTTGTCCTCATTCACTAAACTAGCGGGGCTGTTGATTCCCACCGATCCCCGTCCTCAACAACCCACATGCATTCCAGTCTCATTGTTACACCGATCCAACTGTCCAGAAACACGTGTATAACAAACTGTTGTCTGCTTCCAACTCCTCCCCCCCCGCGCCATCCCAGCCGCTCTGGACGCATTTTGTGATGGTCTGAGCACGTTGATCAATCGGACGTTTGAGGACACATTCATCACCNCAACGCGGAAACTCAACGTATGGCTGTTCTGCGTGGCGAGAAACTCTTAGCCGCTCTGGACGCATTTTGTGATGGTCTGAGCACGTTGATCAATCGGACGTTTGAGGACACATTCATCACCATCAAACAAATGCACGCGGCCCGGGTGGAGTACGATGCGTATCGAAAAGAGGCGGAAGTGGCCAGAGCCTCCCCGCGGAAATCCACACGACCCGACTCACCACAGGCACGCAAGATAGAAGAGGCACTCACGCGGTTTGCCGCATGTGAGAAAAATTTGAACAAGCTCAAAAGCGCCGTAGACGCCAAATTGCGACTTTTACACGAAAATCGGGTATGTCCCCCCCATCCCTATAAATCCACAAGTTGTCTTATTCTGGCACAGATCGCTCATCGAGCGAAAAGCATTTGTCCCTATAGTTACCGCTTGTCGTCATCGTAGTGCTTCCCACGCGTTCGTTTATGGTTAGTCACCTAAGTTACCCTTCCCTCGGTTGTGGGATCTGGAGACGCGCCCACTTGTGTGCAACCTTGCTTGTTGGAGATCGATAGTTATACTGGGAAAAGTGGGTTTAACAATGGCGTAAGATGTTCCGTGAACCTCAACATCACTTCACTGCATAAAATTTGGACGCAAGAGCGCATTCCTTCATCTTGGGGCGAATCATTGAGCGCTCCCATTTTCAAGAAGGGATCTCACAACGATTGCAAAAGTCACCGCGGTATAAGTCTCCGTCAAACCTCAACGTCTGACTCCTTTAGGAGAGACCAAAATCCGTGAACAGCAAGCGGGATTCCGGCCTGACCGTGGATGTATTGATCACATTTTCACATTGCGTCAGGTCTTTGAGCTGCGTCACACTCACCATCGACCAACGATTGCAGTGTTTCTTAACTCGAAAGGAACCTTCGACTCAGTTTACTTCGAAGCCCTAATGGGTTCTCTTCTTCGAAAAGGAATGCCGCAGAAGTAGGTTAACTTACTGAGGTCACTGTACTCATTTACCTCTGATGGATTAAAGGTTTATAACGAACTAAGCAGGCCGTTCGTCACCAACAGCGGCGTTCGTCAAGGGTGCTCTGTTTAGCCATTCCTGTTCAAGTTTCATCGTAGATGTCGTAATGGAGAACGCACAAAAAGTAGATATTGAATAGGTACTTAAAGAAAAGCTGTGCAATTTAGAGTACGCCGATGACACGGTCTGTCTGTTCGAATGTACGCAGGACGCGCAACGCGCATTTGACAGCCTAACAGGTGCGGTTATCACATTCGTTATGTGCTTTGCATCTCAAAGTGCAAAGTGATGCTGCAAGACTGGGTGTCGCCTACTCCCGCTCTGAAACGAAGTGGCCGGGAATTAGTTCTAGTGGATTGCTTTTTCAACTTAGGTAATTGCTTGACTAGTGGCCGTAGCGCAGCAAAGGAGATAACCGCCCGCCTTTCCAAGGCGGGAGCAGCGTACGCAGGAATGATACACCTTTGGGCGCAGACGCGACGTTTCACTGACGTTGAAAGGTCGTGTATATTGTGCTGGCGTTTGTTCAGTCCTACTTTATGGTTGTGAAACTCTGAATCTGGAAGATATCCGTCGACTGGAAGTTTTCGATTGTTGGTGTTTACGTAGTTTAGCCCACAATGGATGAAGCGGACGGGTTAGTAACCTGGAGATAAGCCATCCTGTGTTTGGGAGTCTATCAGGTATAAACCTGCTGGCACACCGAATTCAGATTAGTAGATTTCGCTGGCTATGGCACGTATTGTGTATGCTCAAATGTCGTCTGCTGCGCCACGCTTTATTCGCTGTAGCCGCTCCGGTCTAAAGGAAACCGTGTGGAGGTCACTTATAACGTGTAGACGAGGCATGAAGAAATGCACAAAGCTTTTACTGAGAGTAGGTATCTTGGGTCTTTCAGGTTGGGGTCCAAAATACTCCGTAACCGCATGGTTGGAGACATTGAAGGATATGACAGTGGACCGACAGCAGTGGCGTTCTTGTTGTTGTTTCTTATCAGGTCAGAATGCTTGAACCGGTATGTATGCTGGGTTTGATTGTGCACTCACTGTGTGTTGACCATAGAGGTTCAACTTCTTCCCCCTCCCTCAAAATAGCTCCAATCCTTGTCCACTTTAAATTTTACCACTAGCTTTGTAAGCATTGCCTAGTTGGACATTGATCAGTGAAGTTCGCCCGACTGCATTTTTTGCTGTACGAACGTCACTGCAGCGGAGTACAGTTTTCGATTTGTATTTCTGCATTTCTTCAACTGTCAGAAATGCGCTGATGTGATCGGGTACTATTTTGGTTCATCTAAATCGGAACTATTGATTAAATGCAGTGCTTTCTTGCGGTTTGTTGCTATCTCGCATCAGTTTTCCAGGACAGTTGAGATTGATCGATCGATTGAATTGTAGGTCAAACGGATGGATGAATTCAAGAGCAAAATCGATCAGATAGCGTAATCGCATTTTGACTGTGTTTCAGTCTGAAAGACAAAACACTGACACAGAGTGGTCAAATGGTGATCGCTGTGGTGGTGGTGGTTTGACCAGTCGATGCGCTATTTTTCCGCGCATCTAGCAGTAACTAGATGGCTTGTTCTCATCAGCCAAAAGTACCAGGTTCGGTCGGAGGAAATCCAAACCGTTGGTGAACAATTCTGGGATATTCCAAAGTTCAGTCCTCCCATACTTATTTTTTATGTACATTAGTGCTATTTCCCCTACTTCTCTCTTCAGCTAAGCTGATGATGTGGTTTGATGCGAGGCCATCTCCTATTCTTCTGGTCTTTCACAATTTTCTGACAACTTGAAAGACGTTCGGCAATTTTCCGCTACATTCGATCCCTCTCTCTTAATCCTTTCAAATGTTTTGCATGTCTCTTTACATCGCCACGTGCTTCTTTCCCTTCGATTGGCTCTGAACCAGTATCCCGGGCAAGCTGTATTAAATACCTGTGGAATTTTATCAATGCTGATCTTTATTGGACCTCTCAAATCCAACATATTGTCAGTTAAGTTCCACGACTTCCTTTTCATATTCGTCAACTTCGTCAGTTCCGTATTCAGCAATCAATTATTTCCAAATTTGTGTACCAGTGTGTTTTTCCCGTTTTACTTTATTGTTCATCTGTTATTTTTCCCAATCTCCCAAAGAAAGATTTTAAACTACTTCGACGTGGACTGACCATCATTAGGCGCATCTCTTCAATCCCGCTGAAGGATTTGACAACTAACCTATGCGAACGTTATTTGAATGCATGTGGAAAGTTTGCACATCTTATCCACTCCACACATCAGCTTCACGCAGCTTAAACTTCCTGTTGTTCCCGTCCGTTAACTAGATCCCAATACTGTCGTATTCTCTGTCGAATAAAAATATATCATAACTCTACGGCACCCTCATTAGCACGTATTCTAGCTAACAAAGAGCAAGTTTTCACAGACTTTGTTAATCAGTTTTGAGTTTTTAAGTCATTTGTTTTTTAATTTCCTCCCTCTCTTCATCCTGTATTTTTTTGTATTCTTGTATATTTTTAACTGAACATACCTACCGAAGTTATTACGATAATAATAATAATAGTAATAATAATAATAACTAATCCAAAGGCTCTCAGCCACACAAACAAATCGGTTGATTGCACAGCACCTTTTTATGACAACTAGCAACCCCCAGCCGTCTGCTTCCTTGGTTGTCGTGTGGCATTCTATTCCGTAGCTCTGGTCGATGGTGTCTCAGTCAAACTTGTTAACCTCACGAGATCGTACTATTCAAACACTTGTGACTGAATTTGCATCTACGGCGAGGAGTTATGCGCGTTCGAGTTCGGATCTGTAGTGCGACAATGGTGCCCATTGTCTTCAATACGGTTCAACTTTTTTGTTGACTGGATAATGAGTGATTCGATGGAAGGATATCAGGAAGTTCATATCTCTCCAAACTTATAGCTCACCGACTTATAATTCGCTGATGAAAATAGAATCGTCTTTGGAGAGGACATGTCCAGTCTACAAGTAATCGTAGATCGCTCCAATCGACAGGTCTCTAAGGTTGGCCTAGAGGTGAACACATCAAAAAACAAAACGCCTGCGACAGTCCCAATTCATCCCGGGGATGCGTTACTACTAAACGGCGAACCGATCGAATTCGTCGAATGCTTTATAAATACCTGGGTTCAACCATACTCCCCAACGGTCAAGCTAAAGACGAAGTATGAGTGCACGTGGATGCTGCATGAAAAGCTTTTTTGCAGCCGAAATGAAATCACTCTAAAGACAAACATACAGATCGTAAAATATTCACATAGAAAACTTGGAAAACGGTGCCTGTGAAGAAATTTATTTTCGATATATCACATCAGACGGTTACATATATAAGGTGATCATAGTACAAATATCTGTCTGGCCGATTAGATAGCTCACTTGGTAATGATGACAGGCGAGCAAACAGTGCAAACGACTATGACAAGATTAGTGATAAGTCAATGCTATAGAGTCGTGGTGGGGGTGAGAGGACAAAGATCAAATGGAAAACGATAGGGAGATACGCCTAGCCTCTGTCACTCCGATAGGTGTAATAGGATCGCCTTACATATGTAACCGTCTGATGTGATATATCGAAAAGAAATTTCTCCGCGAACACCGTTTTTAAACATACTCATGTTCTCCACAGCAGTCCGTCCTATATTTCTGTACATCTGCAAAACCTGACCAGTTAGAGTCGAAGACTGTCGATGATTCAAAGTCTTCGATTACTGGTGCTTAAGAACCATTCTTATGTATCATATTTCACATACTTCTGACGCCTGACTGTGTCAAACAAATCACGGTACAATAATCTTTATGAAAAAGAAAAAATGTTGGCCTATGGGTGCGATACTGCCAGATTGCCCAGGCCAAGGCAAGTGATTTTTTTAAGGAATCCACAACCAGAGCCTTCGGCTAGCCAAAGTCTGACCCGCAAGACAGCTGGGCGGTGTGTGAAAACCGCAGTCCACCGGGAGCCGGTGTCCAATTCGTCGGATCATTCGCCCTTTGGGCGGGATCAAACTTCCAAGGTGCCCAATACACCTCAATGCCCAATTGAGCCGGTGACCATTGCCACAACCGGGAAGGTGTGTCTGCGGTTCGTACGCCTCCTCTTGGTTGGTTTGCAATCAGGGTTTTTGGCCAACTCCCCCAGGTGAACTACCAGTGGTCCACCAACCCGGTTGTAGCCCCGGATGTCGGCCTTTCGTCCTCTCAGTTTGGTGGAAAAAACACCTCCACGAGAAGACAGTGAGTAGAGCTTCCTCAGCATAAACAAGGGTACAAAGGCAGGGTGACCAATCGCAAACCTAGACACCCAACCCCGACAATACTGAGGCTTTTGGAGGCAAGAATTATTCTGAGCTTACGGTGTTACGCTTGGTAACACACACCTTCGTATTGTCCTGCTCAGTAAT